CCATTGCTTTCTGTAATACGTTAAAAAGAACACGTATGGTCTATTTATAATCACGAAATCATGGCTTTTTTGGGCATCTAGTTAAAAGTAGTTTGCTTTCCTTTTTGGCTGTGACCACACTTGTCGGTGATGCAGCCATTGTCCCTATAATGTAATTCTTTGCCTACTGTCGAGGAACTTGAGACTAGATAAATATAACAGCCGGTCGGTTGATCTTAAGCTCAGTCCTGTACCTGCTCCCAAGGTTTTCTGTGACCCTGACAGGGGCACTCGGTTGATCTTAAGCTCAGTCCTGTACCTGCTCCCAAGGTTTTCTGTGACCCTGACAGGGGGACTCGGTTGATCTTAAGCTCAGTCCTGTACCTGCTCCCAAGGTTTTCTGTGACCCTGACAAGGGGACCAGACAGGCAGTCCACCTTGCACAGAGTTCTGTCTCGTAGGCCAGTAGATGGAAAGAGACATCTTACTTCTCTGTTGACAGATGATACCATTAGTATATTGTTTCCAAGTCTCACGATAAATAGTAGAAACGTCAACAGACAGAGCAAACTGAAGTATCTGGGAATTACATTTGACAGGACCATGTGGGGAGTGTTGTGACGAGATGCCAAAAAGGACTTAGTGCACTTAAGACTATGGCTGCAATTGACATAGAGCAGAGAATGCTTCTCACACTATATCAGCACCTGATCCTGTCAGTGGTGGATTATGGCCTGGGACTGCTTACCGTCTCAAAGAGTCAGATGGACAAACTAGAGCGCATACAGAATGCGGCTATGCGGGTCATTCTGGGTTGCACCAGAGACACCCCAGTGGTGTGTATGCGATACATCCTTGGTTTGCCGACGGTTGCAGGTAGGCACAAGGTGCTGCAGGCGAAGTCATACCTCAGGGTAGCTGCAGACACAGACCACCCTCTGCATGAAGCTCTGGGTGCAGTTAAGGGTCAGCGGCTGATAAGAGGGAGTTCATGGATGGCTCAGGCAGAAGACACAATCAGACAGGTTTGCATCCTTGATAACATTAGGCGAGGAGAGGAGTGGGTCAAAGTGCCACCCGAACAGTCAGACTTGTGTAGAGTCATAATCACGCTGAGCAGGAAATGCAGAGACTGGCCAGCAGGTGCAACAGAGGTGGAAATTCAGCAATTAATTCAAGATAATGCTCGCTCAGAGGATTTTATCATTTACACAGACCGTTCAGTGTCAAGAGGCAAAAGAAGTGCTTGGAGCTTCTTCATTCATTCATTCAGTAGCATGTCCCTCGCGGAACCTCCCTGCCATAACAACCCTCCGGAAAACCTTCCTATCCTGAGCAAGATGTCCTGCGTCTGATACACCCATCTGGAGATCATCTGCCACATCCTGCACCCATCTTCTCCTTGGCCTTCCTCTTCCTCTCTTCCCAGGCATATACCCCTCCATTATTGTTCTCTCTAGACTTCCATGACGTTTCAAGTGACCAAAATATTGTAATGGAGCTTCTTAGCAAAAGTTAATGGTCGACGTTTGGTGCAGGAGAGCCTAGCATATGATACCACAACATCCAGATTAAGAATGGAGGTGGAGGCGGTCACTGCAGCTTTCCGCTGGCTAGAGAACTCGACACACACACACACACACACACACACACACACACATCGTGATTGTAACTGATTCAGAAAGCTTGCTGAGGAAGATCAGAACAGGTATCCTTCGTGCAAAGTGGCATGATTCGCTGCGGAGGACACGGGTGAGGAGTATTTTGTGGATTTTTTCACCGGTTCACGCCGGTGTGTTGGGAAATGAACAGGCGGACAGACTGGCTGGCTCTGCACAACTTGGTGGAATACTGATACATGATAGGGCAGACCTGGTTAGTGCCTTGTGGGAGAGCGTGTACAGTTCGGATGAGCAGATGGATCACCAGTCTGGTGAGATTGATGCAGTTGGGGGTGACGAGAGGTTCTGGCAGATGCTCGAGGCTCAGAGGAAAGGCAAGGCGGACGTTTAATCAGAATTCCTCAGGCAGCATTAGTATCGGAACTCTTTGCTGTCTGCTGAAGATGGGGACGGAGCGCTTATGGGAATTCCCCGAGTGCTGTGATGTCGGTTCTTGAATGAAATCAAATCAAATTATTGTTTCCTGTAACTTATTGTCTGTTGCTCGCCCTTAAAAACCAGGTTGGAACCGTGTGTTTTGTTTACAGCTAAGCCGCAGTATCTGCTACTTTCAACCCAAGACTTCCGATTTCGGCAAAACTCTAATTAGTCGGCTTTAACGGCATGCTTATTGGTGGCAGTGAGTCTATCCCACCTCTTCCCGCATACACACACTAGAAGCCTGGAACCGACACAGGGAAACAATGATAACAAAATACATAATTGTAAAACATATCTATACTTCATACCTACCAACCAGTCTATGTAATTATTACATGTTTTGAGTGATCAGAGAGCTCTGAGCCGAAACGTTGACGTGATTCGTCAATAAACATCATTGCCTAGCAAATGTATCCATTGATGCTCCTTGTCCTGCAGCAAATATCGTAAGGTGTTCACGCAACACGCTGCTTATGCACACTTCGTGTGCACGCTAGACACTGCAGTTTGCTGGTGGCTAGAGAGCAAGATACTTACACATCTCGTAATTGCAACGGACTCTGAAAGCATGGTGAGAAAGTTCAATACAGGATTGCTTCGAGCTGATTGGCAAACTTCACTTGGAATGTCACGGGAGGGAGCATACTTTGGATCTTTTCTCCAGGCACTGCCGGCGTGGTGGAAAATGAACACGCATGCAGACTGGCTGGATCTTCACTGCTGAGTGGCGAATTGATACATGACAGGGCAGATTTGGTCAGAACCCTTTAGGAACAAGTAACAAAGTCAGAAGAGAAACTATATTATTATGGGCTGGAGAGAATGAAGCACCTGGGTGTGACCAAAGGGTTCGGCCGGCACACTATGCTTAGAGGAAGGAAAGGCATCACAGACATACAACCAGACTACGACTGGCACCGTTAGTATTGAAACTCTGCGTTGGCTGCTGAGGATGGGGACGAAGCGCGAATGGGAATGCCCCAGGTGCTATGATGTCAAGTCTTGACTCAACTCAACTCAACGTCGTGCACGTTACAATCGGTCTTTTCTTGTCGGATGCACACCTTTTTCCAAATTAACATATATGTACATACGTCGTTTTATCCGTAAGTGAAAGTGTTACATGTATGTACAAACGTCGTTTGATCCAACCTCCAATCTTCCGTAAGCGACAGTGTTACATGTATTTACATACGTCGTTTTATCCAACCTCCAATCTTCCGTAAGCGACAGTGTACATGCATTTACATACGTCGTTTTATCCAACCTCCAATCCTCCGTGAGTGACAGTGTTACATGTATTTACATACGTCGTTTTATCCAACCTCCAATCCTCCGTGAGTGACAGTGTTACAGATTACTTATTGTCACCACTGTGTCAATGACGTATTTGAGTATGATGTTATTCAGGCTGTCAAAAGTATGCTTGTTCATAATTCCGAGTTCCCGGGGTTAATTGCTGCGGATACCACCCGCCTCTGTTTATCTCACTGACCTGGCCTTCTCTTCCCAGTTTATTGTTAGGTCTACATGTATATTACTTCTTCTTCTCTATCTTTCTTGGTCTATCTCGTGGTTTACTTTAGTTCAACTCTTTTATATATTCTGTTTGTTGGTCTCTCTGTTAGCTGCCATATAGGAGATTACTGCCCAGATAGGTGTACGATTCCACGTCTTGATTAATTGTGCTTGACTATCTACTTTGAACAGGGAGACGAGGGACCTCGGAAATCTGATGATTCAACCAGGACACCACCAACTCCACGTCCCAGTAGTAGAAAACAAAGCGAAGACATCGCCAGCGGTGGCAGATTACTAGGCAAACTCGAGCAGGAGACTGACATTGATGCTCCACCCCTCGACGAATCTCAGGCACATCTGCTACAGCCAAACTGTTTCGAATCAGGGAGAGGCAACAAAACTCTGCCTCGAACCTCAGATGACTCGTACACCTCTCATGAAGAGAGTCTTGAAGTACTACCCGCACCAGATCAGCCTTCACACAACGAGCCTCATAAAGACTCTCCGTCTCAGAATTCTTCGACAGACCGAGAACGGTTTGAGTCTTCTGAGAATGCTGTAGGGTCCCATCCTGCTCCTAAACGACAAGACAGTGCCCCACCGGCTGCAGACACGACTAAAGAGCTCAGGAGAGCCAACTCAGAAGAGGCAAGAGCCGATCTGTCGGTAACCGCGGTAACCAAAAGCCCAAACAAATTTTCACGAGAGCTGTCGTTGCCTCCTCGACTGCAAGCATCTGAACAACGAATACAGTATCATCAAGATTCACCCCAGCAACCTTTCTTGAACCTTACACAGCAGTACCAGTATCAGTATCAAACTGAGTCGCCAGACCGACAACGAATACAACAGCAGCAGCAGCAGCAGCAGCAGCCGCAGCAGCAACAGCAACAGCATGTAAAGCTACGACATCCTCAAAACTTCGGGGAATCCTTTCCTTCGCCACAAGGTGCGCCACAACTACAGGCACCGCTCTATCGTAATTATTATAATCAGGATCCCCAGTGGCAGCGATCACCACATTATCAGCAACAGGGTCAACAACAGCAGCAGCAGCAACAGCAGCAGCAGCAGTTAACTATTCAGCGCCATGCAAACTTAGAAAAACAGCGACTGCTCTTACAGCACAGGCGCGGCCATGAAACTGCCGCGCCAACTCAGCCACCTCCCTCATCATCATCAACAACAACATTTCAAGAAACTACCAATCTCCAACACAAAATTACTTCTTCCTACGACGGTGGTCGGCCTCGCTCAATCTCTAAAAGCTACAGCGTACAGACAACAGCAGATACAGCTGCACCGTTCATCGGCAACCACAACAGCAGCAGTAATGTCTATGCAAACGTACGCATGTCCAGCAGCGGAAGCAACATCATGGGCCCAGCAGGGCTGGAGATGGGCATAAAGAGTATGGAGGTTGAAGATGAAAGCTTTGTGGTGGAGACTGTGGAAATTATCAAACGCCCTGGCCAGACTTTAGGGTTTTATATCCGTGAAGGGAACGGGTTCGATCGCTCAGATGGAGTTTTTATTTCGCGGATTCAGATGGGTACAGTGGCTCAGACAAACGGATTGTTACATGTTGGGGATGAGATTGTGACTGTTAATAATGTCAAAGTTGGAAACATGTCTCTGGATGATGTGGTTATCCTCATGTCTATACCTAAGAAGCTGGTACTCACTATACGAACCAGGAGAAACAGCAGCAAAAACAAATCCTGCCCAGCTCTTCCAGTTGTGGAAAAATCAGAGCCACCTATTGTTGTTTTAAAAAAGGGCAGGTCTTCTTCGGCGTCTGCACTGGAAATGACCGAGAAATGCCCAGATCTGTATGAGCCGGGACAGACTTATTCACAGTATCCCTTCCAGTCTGCAGATTATACCCCACGACGAGAGCTCAGTCAGGATAGACAAGGACAAGGTTCTTCAAGATATGCGAGCATTTTCATCAGCCCACAACGAGCAGAAGCGAAGTTGATGACCGAGGATGGTGTGGAGAGTAGTAACTCCAGCGAGGGATCTCTGCCACGAAGTGTTGAATCCAGCAGAGAAAGAGCTTATGTTGGTCAGGAAATTGCGGATATTCCTAAATCAGGGTATATGAGTGTTACCAATCCTATTTACGATCACTTCTCCAGTCTTGAATACAAACATCATTTGATGCCCGAGAGCATGGGCAGGAAAGCAGCATTGCCAAAATCTCCAACAAAACAAATCCCCATAAGCGCAGCTTCCCAAATGCACGGGTTCAGGAGTTGGTCACTGCAGGAGTCGAGTCCATCATTCTCCGAGCCACCTTATATAAATGTAGGGGCTTTGAGAGAAGGGGGCTTACAACAGCATTACCAGCTTCATCAATCTTCTCTGTATTCTCACACACATCATCAGCAAAGGTTCCCACAGGCCCCTCATCATTATCAGTTTCAGCCGCAACCTCAGCATCAAGGGTACCCTCTACACACGCCTCCACACGGACCCTCGTACACCCTCCCACCTCAGGCTTACAGAGGAGATGTACCTGTGTCTCAGGAAGAGAGGAAACGTCAAGAAAGACTTCGCACCCTCCTCAACTCTAAAACAAAATATGGCCGGCTTCTGCGAAGCCGATCTCCCGAGTGCTACAACTCGGACTCCGAGCTGATGTTCACACATCAACAACAGATGGATGCACGTGGCTTCGCTTCGGACTATGAGACATACGGTGGGGCGTTCAGTGATGACGAGCCTGTGTACTCTATACCACGTATTCCAACCAGCTCCTCATCCGAGCTGGAAATGCTTCTAAAGAAGTTCACCACACTTTCCCAGGAGCTTCAGCAGGAGCAGAGCAAGCTGCAGCGGCAACTCAGCACTCGAGACAAAACTGGCAGTAAGTTCTTTGTTGTATAGTCTCGTGTGTTTATGATAGTGTACCTTGTAAACCTCATTGCTGGGGACAAAGCTTGTAGCAAGTTCGTGATCGTGTAGTCTTCAATGTTTCTGATTCTATATTAATAAATGTCTACACTCGGGATAATGCCGACAAAGAGTTCTTTGTGTTTACAGTCACTAACGCCAGTGATATTCCAACTGTAAAACTCACTCCTCGAGACGAAATTTGTAGCAAATTCCTCTTTGTATAGTAGCCAGTATCTTTGAAACTCTCTCTCTCTCTCTCTCTCTCTCTCTCTCTCTCTCTCTCTGTGTGTGTGTGTGTGTGTGTGTGTGTGTGTGTGTGTGTGTGTGTGTGTGTGTGTGTGTGTGTGTGTGTGTGTGTGTGTGTGTGTGTGTGTGTGTGTGTGTGTGTGTGTGTGTGTGTGTGTGTGTGTGTGTGTGTGTGTGTGTGTGTGTGTGTGTGTGTGTGTGTGTGTGTGTGTGTGTGTGTGTGTGTGTGTGTGTGTGTGTGTGTGTGTGTGTGTGTGTGTGTGTGTGTGTGTGTGTGTGTGTGTGTGTGTGTGTGTGTGTGTGTGTGTGTGTGTGTGTGTGTGTGTGTGTGTGTGTGTGTGTGTGTGTGTGTGTGTGTGTGTGTGTGTGTGTGTGTGTGTGTGTGTGTGTGTGTGTGTGTGTGTGTGTGTGTGTGTGTGTGTGTGTGTGTGTGTGTGTGTGTGTGTGTGTGTGTGTGTGTGTGTGTGTGTGTGTGTGTGTGTGTGTGTGTGTGTGTGTGTGTGTGTGTGTGTGTGTGTGTGTGTGTGTGTGTGTGTGTGTGTGTGTGTGTGTGTGTGTGTGTGTGTGTGTGTGTGTGTGTGTGTGTGTGTGTGTGTGTGTGTGTGTGTGTGTGTGTGTGTGTGTGTGTGTGTGTGTGTGTGTGTGTGTGTGTGTGTGTGTGTGTGTGTGTGTGTGTGTGTGTGTGTGTGTGTGTGTGTGTGTGTGTGTGTGTGTGTGTGTGTGTGTGTGTGTGTGTGTGTGTGTGTGTGTGTGTGTGTGTGTGTGTGTGTGTGTGTGTGTGTGTGTGTGTGTGTGTGTGTGTGTGTGTGTGTGTGTGTGTGTGTGTGTGTGTGTGTGTGTGTGTGTGTGTGTGTGTGTGTGTGTGTGTGTGTGTGTGTGTGTGTGTGTGTGTGTGTGTGTGTGTGTGTGTGTGTGTGTGTGTGTGTGTGTGTGTGTGTGTGTGTGTGTGTGTGTGTGTGTGTGTGTGTGTGTGTGTGTGTGTGTGTGTGTGTGTGTGTGTGTGTGTAAATTTATACACTTGGGATAAGGCCAGCAGTAAGTTATTTGTTGTTTTGTCTCCAACGTTTATGATATTCTAATTGTAAAACTCATTTCTCGGGTCAAAGCTTGTAGCAAGTTCTTTATTTTTTTTTTTTTGGTATCATTGAACAGGTCATCCTCACGTGGGATGCAATTTTTTTTTTATTTGAAGCCCCACCCTGGCTTCTGCTGTAGGCCCTGAGTATAGCCGAGCCATAAATATGGTCTTAACGGCTGAAAGGGGTTTCTGGGACCTCTCCACGGGTGATCCTCATCCGCATGATGGCACTTTGCGTCAGCGGGTGTTTATCGCTTGTGTGATGTACTGATGGGGTACAATTACCTACCTACTTTTTGTTGGTATAGTCTTCAGTGTTTCTAAAAATATTTGTAAATTTCACACTCAAGGAAAGACCGGGGGTGAGTTTCTTGTATAGTTCGCCACTGTAGCAGTAAAGCTCACATAAATTCTCCCTTACTTTGCGACCATCCTCCTAATGCTTTCACTAAATAGACTGACCATTTCCCTTCACTTACCCCACTGTTTTCATTGAAGGCTACTAATTAATGGCGTTTCCGTCCAAGTCAGACTGCATCTGCCCGAGGGAAGAAAGACAAACAATCTGCATATAAATAAGACAAATCTGTAAAACAGATGTGTGCTCAAAACTCAAGTTCTGGAATAAGAATAAAACTCAGTAGCGGATGAACAACCAAACTTTCCACTAGAGTTTGCGATCTGTGCACGCTAGGAGGTTTGTGTCACTCGTCACTTCCTGTACTAAACTCGTGACACTCCGCTCCATTCACTTCCTGTACTAAACTCGTGACACTCCGCTCCATTCACTTCCTGTACTAAACTCGTGACACTCCGCTCCATTCACTTCCTGTACTAAACTCGTGACACTCCGCTCCATTCACTTCCTGTACTAAACTCGTGACACTCCGCTCCATTCACTTCCTGTACTAAACTCGTGACACTCCGCTCCATTCACTTCCTGTACTAAACTCGTGACACTCCGCTCCATTCACTTCCTGTACTAAACTCGTGACACTCCGCTCCATTCACTTCCTGTACTAAACTCGTGATACTCCGCTCCATTCACTTCCTGTACTAAACTCGTGATACTCCGCTCCATTCACTTCCTGTACTAAACTCGTAATACTCCGCTCCATTCACTTCCTGTACTAAACTCGTAATACTCCGCTCCATTCACTTCCTGTACTAAACTCGTGATACTCCGCTCCATTCACTTCCTGTACTAAACTCGTGATACTCCGCTCCATTCACTTCCTGTACTAAACTCGTGACACTCCGCTCCCTTCACTTCCTGTACTAAACTCGTGACACTCCGCTCCATTCACTTCCTGTATTAAGCTCGTGACACTCCACTCCATTCACTTCCTGTACTAAACTCGTGACACTCCGCTCCATTCACTTCCTGTACTAAACTCGTGACACTCCGCTCCATTCACTTCCTGTACTAAACTCGTGACACTCCGCTCCATTCACTTCCTGTACTAAACTCGTGACACTCCGCTCCATTCACTTCCTGTACTAAACTCGTGACACTCCGCTCCATTCACTTCCTGTACTAAACTCGTGACACTCCGCTCCATTCACTTCCTGTACTAAGCTCGTGACACTCCGCTCCATTTACTTCCTGTACTAAACTCGTGACACTCCATTCCATTCACTTCCTGTACTGTACTCGTGACACCCCATTCCATTCACTTCCTGTACTGTACTCGTGGTATTTAGATACACTGATGCGTCCGAGAATCTCCGCTCATAGCTCAAGCACATTTCAAAGCGTTGCAAACGCGCTGCATAATTATGTAATACTCAGCTCGATTTCAGCTATTGGCAGCGATTTGGCAGCAGACCCTTTGTGCTGATTTCGACAATGGTATGGACGACTGACCGTCCATTAGCAATGGCAAACTACCTCACGTGAAATTACCTTATAAAACCAGACAGCCAAATTATGTTGACGCAACGTTATATAAGGCTAAATCGAAAGGCATCTTTATAAATACAGTTCTATCCGTGTCTTAATGTGCATTGCCTAGTCGTAGTGGTAATTTTGTCAGCTGGTATTTTGTTCCTTCAGCTAATTCAAAAGGAGCAAACCCCAGACATTCCTTTCAATCCTGCACACTGGGGCCACCTACTATTGCGAAGCAACCCCTTGTCCCGTGTGTTTGCGTGTGTGTGTGTGTGTGTGTGTGTGTGTGTGTGTGTGTGTCTATGTGTGTCTCTGTGTGGGTGAGTACCATCATTTTAGACGAATCTGCTCTTTCCCGTCGGGGCTGCTAACTAAACGTTAGATCATCCAGAGATTACACAACCGTAATCTGGATGGCAAGCAAACCTGCGAACCCCAGTTACCCCGTGAGTTACCTGAGAACAATTGTTTTCAATGTGTGCTGGATAGGCTATCAAAATAATTATCACGCATTGCAGCACGTGTGAGCTGATTTCCAAATAATCTTCACGCGTGCGGTAATTACCGTATTTTCCACCCATTTGTAGGGGGCTGAGCCTCGAGAGGCAGGGGGTAAGAAGTGTTGGTGTTGTGGGTAGTGGGTTCCCCCCCTTACTTCACCCTAGGTCTAGTGAATATCTGTTCACGAAAGTAAGTCCATTGTGGTGTCAGCCTCTTGACCTAGCAAAACCTCTCTTACCTCAAGACCATTGTGCGTGGCGAAGAGTCACAGCCTCCCCGAGGTAGCCCTGGTAACTAGGGGTGCGAATCCCCAGGCAAAACACAATGGATCTAGAGGAGCAAACCTCGATAATAAACCCGGTGCACCACACCGTACTGCCCCCTGTGGGAGGGAAGGAGCCAGAGGTGTGCTGAACAGTCTTAGGAATGGAAACAAGTATGCTAACCCCCCTGAATACCGGAAACTATCGTGAAGGCACAGGGACTCAGGACGTGACGATCCAGTTGCCCCAACTACTCATGCTTAGGACATGCTTAGAGCCATGAAGAACTCAGCAAAACCTGCAGGCAATCTGGTGGCGGGGAATGAGCACACTGTGAGCCCCACCTTAGCTACGTGTTAAAGGGAAAGGCAGAAACACAACCCATATTTCCTTTAGAACTGGTACAGGGCATTTCTAGCTGCTGCCCGGGGAGGTAGGTAATCCACAGACACCCCAGCACCACAATGCCATGAATATGTCAAAATTTAAGAATACATACGAGATCGGTCGTCGCCTCGTCTATCAAGGCCCGCGCCAGACAGTGGGAAACCAGGCTGTCATGTGCGAAAAATTGGCTACTGGAAAATTTGAAATAAATAGGAAAATCAGACACCCCAGGAGGAGGAAGAGTGGGAGGGAGAGCAAAGAGAACTCAGACAGCACAGAAAAAAATACACAGATGCTCAATATTCTGCAGCTGAACATCTGTGGAATAAGAAATAAGAAACTTGAACTCGCCAAACTGCTAAACAACCACAGGGTACACGTGGCTGCCCTACAAGAAACCCTGCATAAAGACTCTGATCTGCATCTCACTGGATATACTAGTTATGCCTGTAAGTGCAATGACTGCCGGGGCATAGTGACCTATATCAGAAATGACATACAAGGAGATGTAACAATGCTGTCGACATCTCACCCTACAGATGTGCAAAAAATAACTATCTGGCACAATGGAAGCAAATATACGATATACAACGTGTACAGCCCAC